GTCTCAAAGTTTTAGTGAAAGTTATCTGATAGATATGACAATTTCACTATTAAATTGTTGAAACATATATATATATTGGAATCTGAAAATTCAAGAACGGAGATTTCTGAATATTGATTCAGCAGCTCTAGTCCTATTCCTACTTTTAATTTTTTTGAAACCAACAAAAGACTAGAACATTATCAGACTCGAGAAGATACCAAGTAGAACACTTTATTGAAGCTCAAAGCCTGCATTTATACATCAGAGATTGAAATCATACAATCACACAATTATTTCAAAAAATAGTTCTAAGCCGAAGTTCGAGATATGAAATCAATTGTATCCTCTAAGAAGTTTTTCTTTAGTCTTTGAAGATTTCTGATTAAATAAAAATTTTGTAACTGATATGAAATTTCCTAATGAGAAAAATGAAATTCTCATCTATATATGACTTGTAATACATTAAAATTTATCGAACATCAAGCTATCTTTTTTTTCTTTTCTTTAAGATATTACATATCTTTTATCTTTATGTGAATACGGTGATCTACATTTACGTGGTGCATGTGCGAATTTACTTGTTACATTAATTAAAACAACAAATCATCTTTTAACACTATCATTATTATCAAATTTATTTAATAATTCTTTTATTAATTAATGTTCACTTATATCAACTGATTCACAAGATAGTTCAAGATTATATGTCTTAATGATAATAATGCACGTGTTATACATGTTTCATTAAATGCTTTACGAACATTATTACCTTTTTTTATTAATTAATAGTCATGCATTTACAATCATAAGAATTAAATTATTAGAAGATTCTATTCAACATAGTACAAGTTCCTGTACTTTTGGTAAAGTAGATAAAAGAAATTTATGATTATAATAATTTTTTTTTGTATGTATATAAAATAGTTTGCTCTAACTCAACTTATAGATGATATTGATTTTCGAATATTAACTTATCTTGAACAACAATTAAAACAACAGTACTCTGATATACGTGTTCGTCAAGCAATTGCGTCGACTTTTGCTAAGTATGTATTTTGTAGAGATAATAACTACGTAGCTTTTTTCGAATTTGAATGAATAAGTCGATTTTATTACATTAAGTTAGTTATTAGCTACTTTTTGATTTTAAGGTTTTGTTGATCACAATTCATTTTTACCATGGCAATAGATATATAAAATTCATCATCCATTACACGTTTAAGCATCAACTCGAATACAAATTGTTTGTCATTTTTGTCTTTTATATAGGTTGGATGTTTAGAAGATATTTATGTTCTTTCAAATGTTTTAAGACCAACAACAATTCGACCAATTTTTTCATAATCAATATGATGAACTTCGTTTATTTATAATTTTTTTTTTGAACATACCTTTATATTACATGATCTTAATAATTTAATCTTTTCAAGTAAAGAGAAAAAAAAAAGATATCAATTATGTTTTTTTTTAATTCTTTCTTTTTATTTGAAGATTTATCAAATCTCAGCAAACGAAAAAATGTTTTGAAAGTAGCACAAATGATTCAAGTAATTCGAAAAATTGAACTATTTTATCATCATTCTTTTGGACAGAATATAGTTGATATTTCAGTTTTCACAGAAGAAGAGAGTTCCAAAGTTTTAGATTTGAAGAATATATTTGATCATGTCTTATCTAAAGGAATTCATTTGTTTTTTCTTTTTAAATAGAATGAAAAAGATTCATCAACAACATCAAACAGAGACAAAGTTAAAAGAGTTAATCATACACAATTAGGTACTTTTGGAAATTATTCGAATTAATACGTTCATCTTATCAAATACATAAAAGTTTATTAAATTCATCAGAAATGATCATTATTGTCTATGAAATCAGTTTTAAGTCTTATTTCTACACAAGATTTATCAAAAAAATTTGGAAGAGAAACACTTAATTATTTTAAATCAACATTCAATGTACACAAAAGGTAACTTCTTTTAAATAGTAAATATTTATTGTTTAAGCTAAAACCTTTAGGATGTTGTATTGTGTCTGAAACTTGTCTATGGATAAAACTTTAGATGGAAATCTTATAATGAAGGTTTCTGAAAGGGTCTTTCCTAGAGAAGGAAAATTTCAATATAAGAATGTCATAGTAACAGAAAAACTGATTTTACGAATATCGATGATCTTAACGAGAGTAGTTTTGTTGTGAAAGTGTCAGATCTTTTGATTCGGTTCAATCTTGAAATTCGAATATTAAATCATCTAGTTGACGTCAGTGATCTGCAAGACACACTATCAATTCGAAATTTGAAAATCATTTTTTTCTGTTAACACAACATTCATTTAAAAATATTCTTTTAATTTAGTTTTTATTAAATCTTCAAATGTTTCTTCACAAGTATTATTAAATAATTCTTTAACCTATATTCATACGATAAGTATTCGACAATCGATAATTTATTTTATTTGGTTCATGTTATGCATCAAGTATAAATAGTGCAATACGAGAGTAAAATAAACAAAAAAACGAATTTGATCTATTCTGTTTTTTTCTTTTCCATTTTAGTTTTTATTGAACTAAAAAATTAGTCTTAAAAAATATATTAATACAAATGAAAGTGATTTTCAAGCTGCTATACTCGATTTACTTGTTCAATTACTTTTAATTCGTGTTAATAATAGTTGATTAGAAGCTGATGAAATTCGTTGCATTTCTAATCGTTTCGTTTATTTTTAAATAGCATTTTATTTGTTGTATTGCTGAATTTCTTGCTATGTTATCACATGATACACTTCATTCAAAACAAGTTATTAAAGTACAAGATTTAATAAAACATTATGATTCATTATTAGCAAGTGGACATGAACCTGCAACACATGGTAGGAAGCAAAAAGAAACATTTTCGAGAAAAAGAAATTATCGTTAAAATTCTTTATTTAGCTTTCACAGCATTAGAACCAGTTTTATATGATTTTTTTCTTGTTCGAGTTATGCGAATAATTAAAATTCCTAATAAGTTTTATTAATTGAGAGTGAATAAAAAGTGTCCTTCTATAAAGTCTCAAATATCTTAGAAACTCGAGAGAGTGTGGGTGTGTAGATGTAATTTTTCTCCTCGATTGAACCCACACTTCAACAAATTGATGATCTGAAAATAATCATCTTGTTGTTATGTATTTGAGTTTGAAGGAAAACTAGGCGTCTTAATTATTATAAATACAAGTATCTTTTCATATCATGTGTATGTACTGAAAAAATAATAATAGAATTTATATTGTTATAGGCTTTACGATTGTTCACAGTTATTGTTAATAGTGTTCAAATTGAAGATGATAAATGGGAACGTCTTTCACGACAAATTGTCGATTTACTTCTTGCTCATTTACAATCTCAGGTTATTTTTTTGTTCAAATAGGATCAATCACTTTTGGATATTTTTTCCACACAATTAACACTATTTGATGTTGTCTCATCAGTTGCATTACGATCAATTGATCCATTTGTTGTTGCTTTTCGAGCATTAGTAAATAGAAATGTCCGTTGTTTTTATTTATAAAATTTTCCTGTAGTTCAAAATTTTTTTTAGAATGTCAATTGTCAATCTACAAATCGATAATTAATCAATATAAATATAATACTTCGATGTCTTGTACAAAATTTAACTGAAGATGCTATATTAACACGATAGAATGATGTTTTATCATCAGTTAATGGAACATGAGATGAAACTTTTAGTGCGTAAGTATTCGAAATGATTTTATTTATAATTTAAAAACTATTATTCTCGTTTTTGTTTTCAGAGCTCTTCTTCGTGTTGTACATGACATAATATTATGAATTTTAACTAATACTCGACAATTACGTGGTCAAATCAATATGACATTAGTTTCTCTCGCATCCGATTATCTTTATGTACATATCACCCATTACTTTGAAGATAAAACTTTCCTGCAATTCATTAATTACTAATGACCTAGCGAAATAAATTTGACTTTAAAATTCCTATGCTTATATAAGTTCTGTAATTTTATTTTGGCTAAACAGTTTCGAACAATTGTAAATGATTTTCATCAATTATGAATTCATGATGAAACTGTACATTGTCTTGAGACATTTTCATATTTAACTATTTTATTTGAATGTTTTAAATTATTATGATCATCATTTTATATCTCATTATTATTACAATGGACACATTCTGAATATACTTGATTATACACAAGAAGCATGGTGATCACCAATATTGACACCATCATCAAGAATACATTTATCTATCAGTGGTCAATTACAATCTTATTGTGATTTAATATATCATCATGAATTATATGTTGAACATTTTACATCAATAACAACACATTATCAATTATTATTATTATTTTTTATTTTATCTTATACATCATACATCAGTTGCAAGTCATTTATTTTTTTTGTGAAAGAATACATTTAGATGAAAGTGGTCTTCTATTAGTTTTATTAGTTGAACAATTCCTTCCATTACCATTAAATAAACAATTATGACCTAAATATATACCATAACTTTTATAAATATTATCAATAACAACATCAATTGATATTATTAAAGAAGATTTTAATAATCTTAATTATCCTATGGATATAACAAGAAAAATTTATGCACAAATGCTTAAAAATATAACTTATAAAAAATGATTACCATTAATGATGTCACCGGTATATTTTAGTTTAATTTATCGAAATAAATATATATATGTATAATAAAAATTTTAATTCAATTAAAAGAAATGTTTTTTTTTACTTTGACATTGTTTATGTGCTAGTAATAGAGGAGACTTTTGAATAATTCAAAATTTCAAAAAATATTTTGAAATAGAAAATATGCAGAATTTCAGGTAATACAAATCGTAAAGGAAAGCATTTAAGTTACATTAGTACAATGACTGAATAATTCCTCTCGAATCTTATTGATCAAATTCTCAGTCGTGCTATTTGTACTATTACAATTAAAGAAAACGACGTCTTTCTAATATTATATTTCGAAATAAATTGCATTCGAGAATTTCGATAAACTTTCTATAAGTTTGAACTCGTGAACTCCGAAAACGTGTTGGATTTTTTCCATAGCATTAAATTTTTAGGATGATTCTTATAGTAAATGAAAATTGATTTGAGAAAATAAGAAACAATATAAATCTGTTCTTTGTTTGTTTTCCTAGGGTTTTGTATAGTTATATCAAATGAAACCAATCAAAATGACATTGAAACAACACCTAATACAATTTATGAAAAAAGTCTTTTATCATGCTTCTAATAATCAACCATATTCAATTGCATTCATAGATTCTATATCAATATATTTTGATAAAATACAAAATTATGTTGAATTAACATGTCAATTTTCAACAGGTGATATACATGATTTATTACGTTTTATAATATTTATATCAGAAATAATTTATATAAATATATTTCAAAAAAAAAACATCATTTCTTAGTTGTGAAACAG